AGCTCAGCAGTTCTAATCTCACCGGCTCAAAGGTTGACTCAGCCTTTCATCCTTCCGAGGTGGGTGAAATGAGGACCCAGACTGTGGGGACGATATGCTGACTCTGTAAACCGCTTAGAGAGGGCTGAAAGCCCTATGAAGCGGTATATAAGTCGAACTGCTATTGCTACTGCTATTGCTAACTGCAATATTCATTCATCCCCAACCAGTTGATGTTTTTGTAATAGGTAGAACACAAAGGATTTCATAGATCAAAGAGACTCCATGATGTGTTCAGGAACACAGCAAGCAGGTTGAGTCTACTTACAAATTCAGATTTATTGATAGGCCATGTCATAATTTCAAGTTAGCACACAAACAAGTAAATTTGTAAATAGGCTATTTGATGTATTGAACTCCTCTCATTGTGAGTCTAGGACTATGTGTGGATTTGATTTAAAAATGGTGCTTTGGAGCATACAATGGTTGGACCCTGGGCTGCATTCATTCCCCCCCCCCCAATTGTTCCATGTGGTTTTTTTGGGACTGTTTGAAAAAATGCACAACCGTATTGGCATTCATGAGTCTCTCATGCACACGTTCAAAGATGCTTTATCGTTCTCCTTGTCATGATGTTTGTGTTTTGTGTGGAATACATGAATACGTAATGTGGGAATGTGTGGGAATTCCTACAAATATATACTCCCATTTAGCTAATATTGAAGTATTTAAACTGTGTTTCTCATATTTTAGTGGCATGTTTGAAGACAACACTTATATCTACCTGATAGAACCTTTGGAGTTAACTCACAGCACGGTATGTGAATACTGACCCACCGAGATCTTGCTTTGATTTGTTGTAAAAGATGCAAATCCTAACCAATATGAATTAAATAAGACATTATTATTTCATCTGCAATATCATCTATAACGCTGAATTTGAATGAATATTTTATTCGTTTTTTTCTACCCCGCGTTTGATATATTTTGTAATTTTTTAGAAACATAACTGTAGCTGAATTTAAACGAGGTTAACCTGAATGTTAAATACACTCACAGCACTGCTATAACATTCAGCTAAGCTCAGTGCCACGTAAAGCGTTTTGGGTTGTAGAAAATGAAATCTAAGGACAAACCAGCAAAGCTACGTAAATTTTATTATATTTATTTTATCAATTGTTATGGCCACCCAACTCTGGGTAGTTAATATTTTGAAAAGCAAAAGCAAAAATAACCAACAGGAATAAAAGGAGGAGCCGAGGTGGCGCAGTGGTTAGGGTGCAGTACTGCAGGCCACTTCAGCTGACTGCAGTTCAGCAGTTCAGCGGTTCAAATCTCACCGGCTCAAGGTTGACTCAGCCTTCCATCCTTCCGAGGTGGGTAAAATGAG